CCTTATTTCACTTAATATAATTCTCTCAAGGTCCATCCATGTTATTGCAAATGGAATAATTTTGTTCTGTTTTGCAGCTGAGTAGTATTCCATTGTATATATGTACCACATCTTCTTTATCCATTCGTCTGTTGATGGGCACGTAGGTTGCTTCCACGTCTTGGCTATTGTAAACAGTGCTGCAATAAACATTGGGGTGCACAGGACTTTTGGGATTGCTGACTTCAGGCTCTTTGGATAGATACCCAGTAGTGGGATGGCTGGATTGTATGGTAGTTCTATTTTTAGTTTTTTGAGGAATCTCCATACTGTTTTCCATAGTGGCTGCACCAGTTTGCATTCCCACCAGCAGTGTATGAGGGTTCCTTTTTCTCCGCAACCTCTCCAACATTTGTTGCTATTAGTTTTAGATATTTTTGTCATTCTAACGGGTGTAAGGTGATATCTTAGTGTAGTTTTGATTTGCATTTCCCTGATGATCAGCGATGATGAGCATCTTTTCATGTGCCTATTGGCCATCAGTATATCTTCTTTGGAGAAATGTCTGTTCATGTCTCCAGCCCATTTTTTGATTGGGTTGTTTGATGTTTTGTGATTGAGTTGTGAGAGTTCTTTATATATTAAGGATATTAAGCCTTTGTCAGATATATGACTTGCAAATATTTTTTCCCAGTTAGTGGGTTGTTTTTTTGTTTCAATCCTGTTTTCATTTGCCTTGTACATTTTCCTTTTTTTTTTTTTAAAAGATTTTATTTTGGCCTTTTTCTCCCCAAAGCCCCCCAGTACATAGTTGTATATTCTTCATTATGGGTCCTTCTAGTTGTGGTATGTGGGACGCCGACTCAGCGTGGTTCAACGAGCAGTGTCATGTCCCCGCCCAGGATTCGAACCAACGACACCCTGGGCCACCTGCAGCCTGTTTCTGGGGCTGCTCCCAACAGAGCAGACAAGGGATTTCTCAGCTGAGTGTCCCTGGCTGTTTGTCTCCGTGGTGGAGGGTACACTCAGGCATCAGGAAGCTGAGGAGTTGGGCCCGGGAGGTTTCAGTTTCCTGATGTTCTCTGGACGTCAGTTTCTCTGTAAAAGAACCTCGAAGGCCTGTGATGAGCCGCAGCTTTAGTGGGAGCCCAGGGCGAGCCCACCGGGGCTTGAACAATGTGCAACTTCTATTTGTTGGTAAAGCCCAGGGAGTCACAGGTTAAAGAGACAGACATTTACACATGAGTATAACTAAAGACCCAGCGACCTGGGAATGTGTGCTTTTAGTTTTAACCCCATGCATGCTGGGGTCACTGTAGGGGAACTGATAGCAGGGATGGTATCAAGTAAGAGCGTGTCACAGCAACACCCAGACCCCACCTGCGGCCTGGAGGCAGAAGGAGGAAAGAACAAGAGACTTCAGAGAGGAGGCGTGGGACTGCCCAGGTTTGGGCTCTGGGAGTGGGGGCGGAGGGACTCCCTCGGGGCCTGGAGTGTGGAGTCCCAATGAGGGCCTGGTGGGGGCCCTGCCTGGGGACAGTGAGGTTCTGCAGCAGGCTTGGGGCTGGGCTGGGGGAGAGGATGGGTGACTGTCAGGCTGGGGAAACGTCCCCAGGGCCAATCCACAGCCCTAAAGGAGGAGGTGGGTCAGCAGAGACAGGACCTGACCTGACTGCCTGGGACAGGAAGCCCCCCTTAGACCACAGCCCTTCCTCCAACCCTGCCTGAGAGTAACTTGAGACTCAGTCATTTGTTCCACCTTCCTAGTTCCAGCCAATTCACCAATTTACGAAAGACCATGAAATAGAAGCTTCTGAGAAAGCAGAACTACTGAGTTGAGATGTGGAAAGGGGACCCCGAGATGGGGGCTGAGCTACACCAAGGACCATCCTCCTGCATCCGGTCCTCACTGCACAAATGATCATAGCTCCACATCGTGACCACACTTTCCGGCCCTTCTTCACTGGCTTCCAGATCAGTGTCCCATAACATAAGACATGTCCGGGGACGAGAAAGGGGTGGTTATGATGGGGGCACCCCAAGGCTCAGCTCCCATGACAACCACCGTGATCAACATCCACAGCGAGCCCCCCATGCGCGACCATGTCATCTGGTCCCTGTTCAACACGCTCTTCATGAACTGGTGCTGCCTGGGCTTCGTGGCATTTGCCTTCTCCGTGAAGGTGGGTGCGTGCGTGGGGGATTCCCCAGAAAGTGTGTGTCTGCCGGCTAGGTCCCTACCCAGATGGCACCTGGGGTATCGGAGGCCTTGTGTTGTGTGTGGGGTGCGCGCATAGATCACAATGAGGCTGCATGAGGTGCACGGCCATGGCCACGGTCTGACTTTGTCCCCAGGACTCCAGGAATTCCCCTACTGACCAAACGAGAAATTACATCCCTCAGACTCAGGATGGGGCTCCGAGGATCTCTCAGAAGGAACAAAGGGACTCACAGGGAACGCTGCCCCATTGCGGGGCGAGCAGCCAGTGAAGAGGCCAGAGCAGAGGGAGGAGGAGCCTGAGGCCTCCTGGAGAGGCTGAGTCTGTGAGGAAGGAGATGGAGGCCCAGCTGGGAGGGCCCACGGGGCACTGTGCTGCTCAGGCTCCAGGGGACGGGACGGGGTGGCCCCCATCTGGGTGAACAGCAGGTGCAGGCTGCTCTGGGCAGGGACCAGGCAGGGAAGGACGTGAGTCACCTCACCTGGCTCTCCCAGACCCCCTCCAGGTCCCTCTCACTGTGTCTTCTCCCCCAGTCTAGGGACCGGAAGATGGTGGGTGACATGACTGGGGCCCGGAGCTACGCGTCCACTGCCAGGAGCCTGAACATCGCTGCCCTGGTCTTGGGCGTGGTTCTGACCATCGTTGTCATCGCTGTTTATGCCAGTACCATTGGTTTCATTTTCTTCCAGATTAAGAGTCAACAGAGAGGCTACTCCTAGCTATCCATGGCCCAAGCCCTTCCCCACCTCACACTGCTGGCCCAGCATCCTGGGCTGTTGGCCCTGACCCCTCACCCCACGCCTTTCCACAGCACCATGTACAGACATACCTGTCTACACCTGGATTCAATAAAGTTCACTGGCATGTGATGGTGCAGTGATGTCCCTGGGGGGGCCTGTGGAGAGTCCCCAGCTGCCCCTGAGACGGAGCCACCTCCTCCCTGCCCACCTGCTGTGCTTCTCTGGGGGGCGGGGTATGTCCTCAGGTTTTCTGGGTTTCTGGCCTCCTGCTGGGAGCCACGGGTACATCAGGCTCCTAGGACGGGGGTCCCTCCTTCCCCAATGTCTGCACCCTGATGCAAGAGCACACTGATGCAAGTCCCCACTCCCACCTGCCCTCTCAGCTGACTGGGAGCAGCGGTGCTGTGTCAATGCGGGCACTCAGACCCTGTGGGAAGTCATGGGTTTTGTATCTGTGGGCGAGGCTGATGGAGCCGCAGCCCTCCCAGCCCACCCTGGGCGATCCAGCTGCTGCTGCATCCTGCTGTTGCCTCGTCCAGCCCACCAGGCTCTGTCCTGGTGTCCTTGCTCCTCTGCAGGTGAGGGGTGGGGTCACCAGTGTCCTCAGGAGGGACAGGGGCCAGCTGGAGAAGTGAGGAGCAGCCATCCTCAGCGTTAAGCCCTTTCTAGTCCTGGCCAACTACCTGAACAAAACCGTGCCCTGACCAGGAGATCTGCTCCCTTACCTGGTTCCACGATGGCCCCTGGATGTGTGGGCTCTTGGGATGCCCCAGGGCAGACCTTGCCCACAACCAGCTGGGCAGGTGCAGTGAGGGCTGGGGAGGCCACAGCCCCTCATCCTCCTTGTGCACCGGGACCCCAGCTGTGGATCCTCCACACCCCTCAGCCACATCCTGTTATCTGACTCCAAAAGCAGTACCCCAGTTGGGGTTGGCCCCGTGGCCGAGTGGTTGGGTTCGCGTGCTCCGCTGCAGGCGGCCCAGTGTTTCGTTGGTTGGAATCCTGGGCGAGGACATGACACTGCTCATCAAACCACGCTGAGCAGCGTCCCACATGCCACAACTAGAAGGACCCACAACAAAGAATATACAACTATGTACCGGGGGGCTTTGGGGAGAAAAAGGAAAAAATAAAATCTTAAAAAAAAAAAAAAAAAAAAAAAAGCAGCACCCCAGCTCCAGGAGGTAGCTGGCAGGTTGGGGTCCTCGGGGTGGGACGTGAGTGTGCACGAGGCACACCCCCTTTCCCCATCGCCCTCTGTGTGGGAGCAGGAAGGGGGACAGCCAAGGGACGGTAGGGCCTGGGGGAGGAAACACTGCCAGACCCACCCCTCTGGGTCTGAGAGGGACTTACTCTGAGTGGGGAGGGACCTGGGGGGGGTCTCCTGCCGACGGACAGCCAAGACCCCACTCAGGCGACCCCGACCCAGGCCCGGCAGACAGGGCCAGTCAGACCTTCCCGCATCTGACAAACCCTCTGTCAGCACGTCCACACCCTGAGCCTCTCGGTCCCACCTCCACCACCTGGCAGCACATCTCCTGTGTCCTCCTCACCTAGTGGGGCCTCGCTTTCCCACGTTTCCTGGCGCCTCCTCAGGGCGAGTGCCTCATCTCTCACTGTCCTGCCTGGGCTTCCATCCCGACTTCCAGGCTAGAGCATGTAATGCTGCCCGGCAGGAGGGCTGGGGACACCCCACTCGCCAGGTGGAGGGTGAGGGCCATCACTCCGTGCAGGAAATGGTGGCCTCCTCTGCCCCAGGACTGATTCTGGGAGATGCCCACAGGGAAGCAGGGCAGTGCCAGTGGAGCCTGGAGGCCAGGGATCAGTGATCTCCTCCCAGAACGTGAGAGTGGCAGCCACAGGACCTGACCAGCAGAGGGTCCTAGAGACATTCATAGACTGTGTCCCTGGGGGTGAAATAGAAGGACAGACAACAGGATGCCCCTCAGCCTCCCCCAGCCGAGGAAGCAAGGATGGCAGACCAGGAAACTGATGCAAGAGCTCAATACAACTTGTTACCCTGGGCCTCTGTGGTGAACTGGTCTTCAGACCTGACCCCACAACTGAATGAGGGTAGAGCCCTCAGGGGGAAGGACGCTGTCACATCACGGCTGTGTGCAAAGGCCCATCCCTCGGGCTGCCCTCAGAGGAGCACATGGCTGGTCCTTGGTGATGGACCCTGAGGAGAAGGGCATCAAGACATGGTAGGAGTGTTGGACTCAGGGCCCAGGTCATCATCTCGACAGGCAAAGCATCATCCTGGCCCCTCTTTCACGTGGGGCACATGGGGGCCAAGGAATCGGGGCCCCAGGCACAATCAAACTCTCAGGGGGGCCTTGCCCCTCGCAGCAGGCATTCCCACTCCCTGAATGGGAACTGGAGTAGAAATAAATGGTAGTTGCACATCCTCACATTGGGTCAATCTCCCCTTTCTAAACCAGTCTTACAGCTGGACCTGCCCTTGTGGTTCTTACTATGATTGCAAGAGGCCCTTCAGCAATAAGCCTCAGGAAACATGTGGAAGAAAAAAACAGTTTATTACTTACAAGTCCTGGAGTCTACAAGGCACACCCAGGGCCATGCAACAAGGTCATGGGTAGAGAGAGAGAGAGATCCACTGGGGTTGAGGGTCCCAGACCAGCCTCCCGGTGCCCCAACTGGCTCGCACACCACCCAGAGGTCTGGGTCTCTTGCCCTGGGGCCTCCTCCAGGTTTCCAGGTTCTGATCACTTCAGCCCCTTCCCTTGGTTCCCCTCAAGGGTGTCAGCCGCTTCCTGCAGTTACCACCCCTGGGCTGCCCCTAAATAAGGGCTCCCTGTCACGTGTTCCTAGGTCCGAACCTCCCTGTGGAAATACCTGGTGTGGTTCTGTGTTCCTTCTGCACCCACACTGACCCAGAAGGCTCTCCCACCTGCCTGAGCTGACGTTGCACACATCAATGCAAATAATCCATTATCAATCTATAAATCAAAATTTGGCATAAGGTTGTTAAGAGCCAGGTCTGAGGACTATAGTATGAGACCTTCTGTCCCCAAGGAAGGAAGGACACCTAAAGAAATG